CTGACCGGAGAGGTGAGGAGGATTCTAGGAGGTCACATGACTTCACTCTTATGTCTATTAATAAGACACAGACCTGACGGGAGAGGTGAGGAGGATTCTGGGAGGTCACGTGGCATCACTCTTATCTCTTATTAATAAAACACAGACCTGACCGGAGAGGTGAGGAGGATTCTGGGAGGTCACATGACGTCACTCTTATCTCTATTAATAAAACACAGACCTGACCGGAGAGGTGAGGAGGATTCTGGGAGGTCACATGACGTCACTTTAATCTCTAATAATAAAACACAGACCTGACCGGAGAGGTGAGGATGATTCTGGGAGGTCACATGACATCACTCTTATCTCTATTAATAAGACACAGACCTGATGGGAGAGGTGAGGAGGATTCTGGGAGGTCACATGACGTCACTCTTATCTCTATTAATAAAACACAGACCTGACCGGAGAGGTGAGGAGGATTCTGGGAGGTCACATGACGTCACTCTTATCTCTATTAATAAAACACAGACCGGAGAGGTGAGGAGGATCCTGGGAGGTCACATGACTTCACTTTAATCTCTAATAATAAAACACAGACCTGACCGGAGAGCTGAGGAGGATTCTGGGAGGTCACATGACGTCACTCTTATCTCTATTAATAAAACACAGACCGGAGAGGTGAGGAGGATCCTGGGAGGTCACATGACTTCACTTTAATCTCTAATAATAAAACACAGACCTGACCGGAGAGCTGAGGAGGATTCTGGGAGGTCACATGACGTCACTCTTATCTCTATTAATAAAACACAGACCGGAGAGGTGAGGAGGATCCTGGGAGGTCACATGACTTCACTTTAATCTCTAATAATAAAACACAGACCTGACCGGAGAGATGAGGAGGATTCTGGGAGGTCACATGACGTCACTCTTATCTCTATTAATATAACACAGACCTGACCGGAGAGGTGAGGAGGATTCTGGGAGGTCACATGACATCACTCTTATCTCTATTAAAGCGGGCCTTGCATGACATTTCGAAGTACTCTACCTTTTACGGTAAGATGTATGTATTTGTTAATCCGCAGGAGTACACATTATTAAAGAAGAAGTCTACTGACAATGTCACACAAAACAGCCATCCCTGTATGTCAGAAGGATGCTGCGAGAGCCAGAGGCCCATGATCGGACCTTCACTTCCTTTCTTGGCAGCTGAGAGCAACAATGACAAGAAGATCCTAGAAGTCACCCAGAAGATCATTGAGCTGCTGACGGGAGAGGTGAGCGGTGCCGGGAATTCTGGGACATGATCCAGGAACAGACCAGGGATGTGTCTGGGTGGTGACGGTATCATTGTGTCAGGTTCCTATACGGTGTCAGGATGTCTCTGTCTATTTCTCCATGGAGGAGTGGAAGTATATAGAAGGACACCGGGATCTCTACAAGGACGTCATGATGGAGAACCGGCCGCCCCTCACATCACCGGGTAAGAGGAGACTTTCATTTCTTGAGTATTGAGGATCCCCCTAGATACACACATCCTCTGATATAAAGACATAGAAACAATGTATTCAGTCAGTGTGTGTGTTTCCTACAGATGGATCCAGGAACAGAAATACCCCAGAGAGATGTCCCCGTCCTCTGTATTCCCGGGATTCCACACAGGAACATCAGGAGATCCCTCAGGCCCGTCCTCTGTATTCCCGGGATTCCACACAGGAACATCAGGAGATCCCTCAGGCCCGTCCTCTGTATTCCCGGGATTCCACACAGGAGCATCAGGAGATCCCTCAGACCCGTCCTCTGTATTCCCGGGATTCCACACAGGAACATCAGGAGATCCCTCAGGAGGATCAGGTAGATGGGAGAGATCTAAAGTAACCTGATATTCTTGTGTTTCATCTTAAATCATACATCCAAACCTGTTAAATAGATGTTACATTGTGTCTTGTCCAGGATGAAGGCCTAATTGTTGTTAAAGTTGATGAAGAAATGTTGGAGGGAAGTGATGAGCCGTGTAAGGAAGAGGAACGTTCTCTAGAGATCAGCTCAGGTGAGTAATAAACACTAAATCCAGAAATTAGTCCCAGATTCTCCTTGTTCAGTCACTACAACAATCTCTTCTTCTCCCCCCTCCTCTGTCAGTAGACAGTAATGGGGGGACGGAATGTTTCTAGTGGGGGGAGTCAGGAGCCATCAGCCTCTATTAGACTCCGGCTCTCCTCCTCACATCATGTCATTGTGTGTTACCAGCCAAGAGATATCACATACAAAGAGCCACTAGAGGGGGAAATACAACTGATATATTTCAAATTTAGAAGTCTAAAGGGCAGTAAAAGTACATATATGACTGACATAGATGCAGAAATGTCCTTTAACATTCATGGGGCTAAACAAGAAAAAACGCTTGATTCCCCTCCACACTAAGCAGTGTAGATCGGGGAATTGTAGTCTGACAACAGCAGGTGTGCCGCTTTCTGAATACCGGAACAGCTGATTGGCTGCAGTCACTGTTAGCCCCAGAATTTTTGGTCCAGCTTAAGCAACATCGTAGAACGGAGGTGTGCTGACATGGCCACATACTCTCCGACCAGTGATGGGTTACTTCTGAACTCTTGAATTGTTGTTGAGCTTGACTATCCATTTTGTCAAAAGCTTCTTCTAAACATTATCCCGCCTTTCACTGGCAAGCTGGAGCTCTATAATCGTGTCTGTCCCCCTTCATGTCCCACTCCATGTCCACCCCCAGGTTTCCCTTTATGTGCCACTCCATGACTACCTTCAGGTCCACCTCCAGGTTTCCCTTCATGTCTGCCTCCATGACCCTCTTCATGTCCAACTCCATGGCCCTCTCCATGTCCAACTCCATGGCCCTCTCCATGTCCCACTCCATGGCCCTCTCCATGTCCACCTCCAGGTTTCCCTTCATGTCCAACTCCATGGCTCTCTCCATGTCCCACTCCATGGCCCTCTTCATGTCTGCCTTCATGTCCCACTCCATGGCCCACCTCATATCTGCCTCCATGTCCCCTTTCATGTCCTTCATATCCTACTCCATGGCCCCCTCCATGTCCCTCTTCATATCCTACTCCATGTCCCTCTTCATATCAACCTCCATGTACTCTTACATGTTCCCCTTCATGTCCAGATCCATGGCCCCCTCCATGTTCCTCTTCATATCTACCTCCACATCCACTTTCATGTCCCCTTCATGTCCTACTCCATTTCAACCTCCATGTCCTCTTTCATGTCCCACTCCATGTGCCTCTTTATGTCCACCTCCATATCTAATTTTCTCCAGCTGTAAGACACAACAGGAATAACACAGCTGAACACTCTGTTCCTTCTCAGACAGTGAAGAAGACAATGACCTCCCATCTGACTCTCCAGAATACCCAACTACACCTAACCTCCATCCAGCACCTCACTGTTCAGATCCATCGTCTGGTTCCCCTGAACAATCCGTGGCTGTCACCAATCATAGAGCACAAAGACATTCTATGAATTTCCTGTGTTCTGAGTGTGGAAAATGTTTCACCCGCAAGACAAAACTTATCATCCATCAGAGATCCCACACGGGGGAAAAGCCATTTTTGTGTTCTGAATGTGGGAAGTGTTTTAACCAGAGAGTCCACCTGATGGCACACGAGAGAACTCACACAGCCGTGAAGCCGTATTCCTGTGCCGTATGCGGCAAGTCTTTTACTCAGAGCGGAAATCTCATTACTCATCAGAAGACGCACACGGGGGTCAAGTCATTTTCCTGCCCTGAATGCGGGAAAACGTTTACCCGGAAGTCATCGCTCGTCATGCACGAGAACCTTCATACTGGGGAGAAGCCGCATTCGTGTTCTGAGTGTGGGAAATGCTTTAATGAAAAGTCGCGCCTCACTAGGCACGAGAAGGCTCACACGGGGGAGAAACCGTTTTCCTGCACCGAATGCGGCAAATCTTTCACCCACCGATACTATCTCAGCTCCCACCAGAGGACTCACACCGCCGAGAAACCATATTCATGTGCAGAATGTGGAAAATGTTTTTTCAAGAGGAAAGACCTTGTTGCTCACCAGACGTCGCACACGGGGGAAAGGCCCTTTTGTTGTTTGGAGTGTGGAAAATGTTACACTAACAAGTCCAATCTCATTGCGCATCAAAAAATTCACATCAGCCATTGCCCGTATTCATGTCCTCAGTGCGGGAAAGGCTTTAACCACCGGTCGAGTCTGCTGAGACATGAGAGAGTCCACTCCGGGGACCGTCCGTATTCCTGTTCTGATTGTGGGAGGCGGTTCTCCGAGAGGTCCTCACTGATGTCACATCTCAGCTCCCACAGGTGACAACGGGTTCCTATTCAAAAATAAAAAACAGAATGTGGGAAGATGTCAAAAAATTCCCCAGAGACAAGCTCACCTTATCTTTTCAGGTCGGTGCCACCTACCAAATAGCATCATTAAAGCCCGCCTTCGGGGCAAACAAATGAAGTGATGAGGTCTAGTGGGGCTACCCCCCTCCCCCACTTGACTTCATTTTTGTCTAGGGGCTGGAGTAAAGCAGATTTGCTCACTTGATCCCCAATCCCAATGGCTCCCTATGGCCTGCTAGACCAGTCCTGGCAGCCTCTTCGCTCTGCAGGGCCACTGACATCATCATGTCTAATGAAGTTCCCCAGATCTGCATTAGAGGCGAGGATGCCAAGGGACATTCCTCCAGCTGGAGCGGAGGGGGGTAAGAAATCACTGACCATCAGGGGAGTAGGGATCAGGTAAGTAAATCTGCTTTACTCCAGCTCCTAGACAAAGCTGTGTACCTACCGTACCTCTTGCAGGGTGCAAGTAGCCCCGCTGCAATTGTACTGATTTTGTATACAGTAGGGATATATTAGTAGGAATAAAAGGCACTCCAATGTATTCTGTGGCATTCGATCATTTATTATTAAAAACTTATTTCTATTAACAGCAGCGGTACAAAACTCGCAAGCAGCATGTGATGTACCAATCACCACCAACAATGGCGATACCAAGATGTCTATTTATAAACAATTCGCTTTTGCAAAAAATTGCAAAAACAACCATTCTTGATATATTTTCTTTTCAGGTTGAATGTATTGTGATGTAATATCACATTATGGCCACTAGATGGAGCTGAGGAGCACAGTATTTATTTTCTATGCTCCTCAGCTCCATCTAGTGGCCATGTTGCAGTATTACATCACAATACAATCGACCTGCAAATAAAATATATTAAGAATGTTTGCTTTTGTTAGGGTTGTCCCGATGCCACTTTTTCAGGACCAAGTACAAGTACTTCCCCTCATGTACTTGCCGACACCAATTACCGATACTTTTTTTTTTTTTTTTTAAAGGGACAGGTGACTTTAAATGATCCATGGTAGGAGAATTATGTACTATGGATCATGATTTAACCCATTCATGTTAGCAGGGGAGAATTGTAAATCTATTGCTGGAGTGTAGTGGAGGTGTGTGCTGTATATATGTACTACATATACATTACACACGTCCAGTACACTCCAGCAATAGATTTACAGCCAGCCCCGTCCCAGCTTCCCTTACTCACAGTTTCACTCCGATCCCTGTAGTCTCACGCGGTGTCTCTCGTAGACGGTGCTGGGCAGGATCGCGTCTCGGTGCTCAGCTTGTGGGAGGCACTCACAATTCTGCCCTGCTAACATGAATGGGCTAACTCATGATCCATAGTACAACTATTATGTACTACGGATCATTTAACCCATTCATGTTAGCAGGGGAGAATTGTAACTCTATTGCTGGTACCGATGACATTTTCAGATGTAACCCTTTAGACTTACCTGATAAGAAATACAAATATATGAACAAAATGTATTTTTTTTATTCAAGCAAATTAATATTTCAATATAGAAATTATCTTTTTTAATGATGTTTGCTGTACATGTGTGTTTGTAACACGGCGATCTTTATCAGCTGCCATAACCTTTCACCATCTTTTCTCTAGTCACCCTCTTCTAATGTCTGACCCCCATCCGTAACATTATCCCCATTTCTCGCCCTTCCCACACATTCTATATACCCCTCCAGGCATCTCAGACATCCGTCCTTTAGCAGACTCCTCTATATTCAGCTTCAAGTCTTATGTTTGGCATAAACCACAATGAAAGCTCAACATTGTGACCATGAAAACCCAAATCCCCCATTCCCTACACCGAGTCATACTCCATGCATGTACCTCCATAGAAAGGTTACCACGGCTGTATGAAGGTCTGGGAGCATCACTGTTCGATGTTCACCCAATAAATGTCTAAGGGTGTTACTATGTATTGCATGCAGTGTGCGGTCTGATTCCATGTAACTAAGTACGGAGCCACTATTCCTGATAGCTGGGTGTACACAGGGCCTGAGGAATACAAGGTACCCCCTATAATCTAAGTCCCTTGGGCATACCTCGTACGCCCAACAATCTTTTTGTAATTTTGTGCTCCTATTTCCTCCCCCGTGCACCTTCCCCCAACTTTTCAGTTGTGATTGATAACACAACTATCCAGCCCTCCCCCCATGCCAAGGCCCTAGGTGTCATCCTTGACTCGGACCTCACCTTTCTTCCCCACATCCAATCACTATGCAAATCCTGCCGCCTTCACCTTCGTAACATCTCCAACATACTCCCCTTCCTCACCAATGAAAACTACTCATCCACTCCCTTGTTATCTCTCGTCTCAACTATTGCCACTCCCTCCTCATTGGCCGACCTCTACACAGGCTCCTCCCCTTCAGTCTATCATGAATGCTGCTAGATTTATCCACCTAACCAACTGCTTAGTGTACCTACCCCCCTCTGCCAATCCCTCCACTGGCTTCCATCCCCCGCCTCCCTCTGCCAATCCCTCCGCTGGCTTCCATCATGTGCCTTCCTCTGCCAATCCCTCCACTGGCTTCCATCCCTTGCCCCCCTCTGCCAATCCCTCCACTGGCTTCCATCCCCCACCTCCCTCTGCCAATCTCTCCACTGGCTTCCATCCCCCACCTCCCTCTGCCAATCTCTCCACTGGCTTCCATCCCCCACCTCCCTCTGCCAATCTCTCCACTGGCTTCCATCCCCCACCTCCCTCTGCCAATCTCTCCACTGGCTTCCATCCCCCACCTCCCTCTGCCAATCTCTCCACTGGCTTCCATCCCCCACCTCCCTCTGCCAATCTCTCCACTGGCTTCCATCCCCCACCTCCCTCTGCCAATCTCTCCACTGGCTTCCATCCCCCACCTCCCTCTGCCAATCTCTCCACTGGCTTCCATCCCCCACCTCCCTCTGCCAATCTCTCCACTGGCTTCCATCCCCCACCTCCCTCTGCCAATCTCTCCACTGGCTTCCATCCCCCCCCCCCCTCTGCCAATCCCTCCCCTGGCTTCCATCCCCCGCCTCCCTCTGCCAATCCCTCCACTGGCTTACAATTACCCAAAGGATAAAATTCCAAATGTTAACAACATATAAAGCCATCCACCACTCTGCCCCCGGCTATATCTCCAACCTCATCTCAAAGTATCACCCTAACCGTCCCCTCATCTCCAGCTTTCTAGCTCCCTCCTCCCATGCTCGCCTTCAGGACTTCTCTAGAGTCTCTCCAATCCTCTGGAACGCCTTACCCCAACCTGTCCGGCTATCTTCTACTATGTCTGCCTTCAGGTAATCCCTAAAGACTCATCTCTTCAGGGAAGCCTATCCCACCTCAACCTAACCACTGAATCTTCACTTTCTCAAACAATTCTACCTAGTGTTAGTACATGTTGAGTCACGCACCAGGAACAATCATGCTGATCATCTACAAGATCTTCTTACCAATGTTAGCACCTCGGAACGTCTTCAGTTCCAGAGTCCAACCCCCCACTGACCTTTTATATGGGCATCTTCATGACCTCCTCACCACTGTTAGCCTCATGGAACTTCTTCCAGAGTCCCAACCTGACAAGTCCTTTAATTATGAAGTCACCTAATTCTTGGTCATCCTGCACATTCATGGACTTGGAGTCTTATGGGAGCCGGTTCATGTTGCCTACGATGTGCGGCCTCCTGCAAGCTGCCTGGGAGACGTTCTGCTGCCATATGGAATTTACTGCAAATGGCTGACCACATTCTAACTCCTATCTGCTGGATTTCATGTATATTCCCGTAGTGGACACATGAGGAACAAAACCTGGAATGTAGGAACTTCGGGGCCGCAGTTTTATGAAAGATTAGGAGAGAGGAATCTTGATGACACTATTTTCCCAAGATGCATCTGGAAGGCAGTGAACCACTTAAGACTCCTTATGATCCGGAAGTGCTGGAGAGCCTTGTGTTTTATACCAACCTGACGTTAGATGTTTCTGTATTGTGGGGTCATCCATGGACCTCTCCCGTTTCATTTTAGAGTTGAAGTCCACTTTGAAGGAACAAGATAACCGTTCCCTGTCCTAAATGACCATCTAAGTTATAACTTTGATTCTTCCCTCCGATATTAGCATAATACAAATTGGTTCCATTAAACCAGGGATGGCCAAACTGCGGCCCTCCAGCTGTGGTGAAACTACAAATCCCATGAGGCATTGCACGATTCTCACAGCCACAGACATGACTCCCGGAGAGAGATGCTTCATGGGATTTGTAGTTTCACCACAGCTGGAGGGCCGGAGTTTGGCTACCCCTGCTTTAAACGAACAATTAGCACCTTTAATTGTCTATATTGGAGTAACAAAAAACATCTATTGAATTGATAAAAATCACATGGGCCCATCCATACTTGCGCATTGCCACAACGCATGGCAATGCACCCGCTCTGTGTGGTGCCATTTATTGTTTATGGAACCCCAACACATTGTACAATGAACCCCAACACACAGCAGGGCACCATGCCCTACGCTGTGTTGTTCAAAATGGATCATACCGGTTTTGGCATCCATTGCGGTACATTGGCAGCCCATTCGTAATAAATGGATTGTCGTAACGCATTACACATTAACCTGTGCTATAACGCACCGCAATGGAACACTTAAGTGGGCTCGCAAGGTAGTGGCCAAAGTAATAGGTTCACAAACCCCAAAAAAGAGGCAACAGAAGACTGATACAAACTTGACATCTGATCCAATCCAATCATTTATTTTGCGTGATCTACCTATGAATGACCCTAGTATGCACATGGGCAAAGTAACAGGTTAGCTTTAACGCTGCACACTTATCTTCCTTTCTGTCCCCTGTGACTTGGAGCTCATAAAGGGATCAGGACACTGACTCCAACCACAGATGGCTATGCGACCAATCACCAGTTCTGTCACGTGGGTGGAGAAGGAGCGGGTCACATGCTCCCCATAACCGTAAATGGCAGGTGTTTCACTTCCAATGGTGAGTGAAGCGGTGTGGGCCATACTAGGGGAGTGGGTCCCCTTTTTTTAGGCCTTCAAAGGCTTCAGTCTGTATAGCGGCAGAATGTACAGCAAGCTTCTACTAAGCATTGCAAAGCTTTATTGACAACACTGACAAATTCTGCAGCATGTAATGGAATCTACAAGCCTTTTACATCAGTCATTGACCCCAGTGAGGACAAGTCTACGCACCTACCAACCTTATATATTCACACAGCAGGGCCAATCCATTTTGTGGCTCTGATTTTTCTTAGAGCCACAGAATGCGACGACGGTTTATTTGATTGTTGTACCCTTTATACAATAGAAATTGTTGAAGACCTCACGTGAAAAGATTCCATTGTTCATCCACCACATCTGGGCGTCTCTACCACCTCCACTTTTTTGGGGCCTATAGCCTCATCCTTCAGACCATATTGAACTCCATCAGCATCTCAGTTCAGGACCATCCAAACCATACCCTAGTTCAGGGGTGTTAAACTCAATTAAATCGTGGGCCGCATCAACATTATGGTTGCCCTCAAAGGGCCTGTAAGACTATATAAATGTATCTAATCTTTATCATAATTGCCTCTGCATTCCATTATCACTGGTTTTAGTAACTTGATCTGCCTAGATCTGAAAGTAGAAGTCTAGGAAATGGCCTGGTGGGCCAGATTCGGCCCCTGGGCCTTGAGTTTGACACATGTGAACTAGATGAACAGTACGAGCGACCACCTGCACGGGGACAGATGTATTGCCCGTTGGCCTACTTCATGGTTGACTTGCAGAACCCATATGGGAGGTTCACCTCGATTTCCCTTATAGGTTCTCCTGCAACCCCTTCCATGTGAGTTTCTCTAAACAAATATGCTCAATGATTTCCAAACTTCTCCTTTACTTTAAAATACAAAAATCTTTTATCTTTAAAATCTTTTTGGAGTCTCTTCTTCTGGAATGTATTAGATGAGGAGCTTACTTATATTATCACCAGTCACTTGAAATATCCAGTGAGATGAGCTGTATAGTTGTCCTTTTGTCTCTACTGACTTTGTCCAAGGCCACCTTTGCTAAGAGTGTTGGTTCTCTCAGATGACTTCCTTCTACTGTCTGACCTCAACACGCATTGTCTCCTCGTGCTCCAGCAGACCAACCAGAGCAGGTACTTGTCTTCAAACATTCAGTCAGGTTGGAGACAAGGATGAAAACTATGGACTTCCATGAACACTCCTTCCTTCTCATTCAGTTCTCAGTCCCGTTTTTGCCCAGGTGCGAAAACCGTTGCATCCTGACCCAGAAACCTCCCATCCCCATGACAACTGAAATGCGATTTCAGGGAGGACCTCTTTGGAAAGCGCTTGTCACATTCAGGACAGGAATAAGGGTTCTGGCCTGTGTGGACTCTCTTGTGCCTAACCAAAGCTGATTTGTAGGTAAACTGCCTCCCACACTCGCTGCATGAATATGGCCGATCGCCCGTGTGGATCCTCCCATGGATGGCAAGGTATGACTTATCGGTGAAGCATTTGCCGCATTCGGAACATGAATATGGCTTCTCCCCCGTGTGAACCTTCTCATGCGCAAGGAGGACTGACCTGCGGGAAAAACATTTCACGCATTCGGAACAGGCAAACGGCTTGTCGCCGGTATGAGTCCTCTGATGTGAGACGAGGCTCGACCTCTGGGTAAAACGTTTGCCGCACTCGGAACAGGAAAAGGGAGTCTCTCCCGTGTGAGTCGTCTGGTGTCGGATAAGTTGGTCTTTCCAAGAAAAGCATTCCCCACATTCCGAGCACAAATAGGGCTTCTCCCCGGTGTGGGTTCTCTGATGTGAGACAAGGCTGGCCTTCTCCGTAAAACACTTCCCGCATTCTGAACATGAATATGGCACGTCCCCCGTGTGAGTTCTTTGGTGGCGGAGAAACTGGGCTTTCCAAGAAAATGACTGGCCGCATTCAGGACAGGAATAAGGCTTCTCCCCCGTGTGCGTCCTCTGATGTAACAGAAGAGATGGTTTCTGGCTGAAGCTCTTCCCGCATTCGGTACACAAATACGTTTTCTCCCCCTTGTAGATCTTCTGCTGCCTGATAAACTGAACCTTCCAAGAAAAACAGTTCCCTCTTTCAGAGCCCATCGGCACATTGCCACCTGTGTGAGTCAACTGATGGCTAACAAGCTGAATTTTATAGAAGAAACGTTCCCCGCATTCAGAACACAAATAGGGCTTCTCCCGCGAGTGAGTCTTCTGGTGGCACATGAGGTGCCCCCTTTCGTTAAACCTCTTGCCACATTCCATGCAGGTGAAAGGCTTGTCATCGGTGTGGATCCTCTCATGGGTGGCCAAATGCGACCTGTTCGTGAAATGTTTGCCGCACTCAGAACAGGAATACAGATTCTTCCCTCTGTGAAGCTTCTCGTGCGTGATGAGCGACGTTTTCCGGTAGAAACCCTTCTTGCATTCGGAACACGAATAGGGCTTCACACCCGTGTGGACCTTCTCATGAGTGGTGAGAGCTGATTTATGTGTGAAGCATTTCCCACACACAGAACAGGAAAAGGGTTTATCACCCGTGTGGCTTGCCTGGTGCCTCAGGAGGTAGGTTTTTCGAGTGAAGCATTTTGCGCATTCGGAACACAAGTACGGCTTCTCCCCGGTATGAACTCTTTCGTGTGTTATAAGGGCCGATTTGAATTTAAAGCTCTTCCCACATCGGGGACAGGAATACGTCTTCTGCTGTCTGTGGAATTTCTGGTGTTTGACGAGTTTTGCTCTCTCGGTAAAACATTCGCCGCATTCGGAACAAGGGAACTTTTCCCCTCTTCTATGGGTTTTAGGGTGAGCGCCGCGATAGGAGTCATGAGGGTGGCTGCCAACTTGTGCAGGTGGATCACGTGATACTTCTCCACTGTGATGGAAAGTCGGGATCATGGGGGGATGCACTGAAAAGCTGGATGTGATGTCATCATATGGTGTGCTAATGAGACCTTTCTCTGCGTTGTACCTTCCATCTGGAGGAAATAAGAATGGTAAGAACCTTTAAAGAACTTCGGTCTACTTCAACATTAGAAGATCATTGTAAAGAGAATTTAGAATTGTCTTCTACACATCGTCTCCGTACAATATGGCTACAATGAGGATAAATAAAACCAAAAGCCAGGTTATTATGTACCTACTGTAGACTATATACCTTTTTATACTATTAATAATTCATAGGTTCATAGTTTGTGGACACCTGACCATCGCACCTCTATGACCTTTCTGGACATTCCATTCCAAAAACATGGCCATTAATATGGAGTATCTAAGAGCCTTTTTAGAGAAGCCTTCGCTCTTCTGCCTAGAGGAGCCTTCGCTGTTCTTCCTAGAAGAGCCTTCGGTGTTATTCCTAGAAGAGCCTTCGCTCTCCTTCCTAGAGGAACCTTCGATGTTCTTCCTAGAAGAGCCTTCACTCTTCTTCCTAGAGGAGCCTTCGCTCTTCTTCCTAGAGGAGCCTTCGCTCTTCTTCCTAGAGGGGCCTTCCCTCTTCTTCCTAGAGGGGCCTTCCCTCGTCTTCCTAGAGGAGCCTTCGCTCTTGTTCCTAAAGGAGCCTTCACTCTTCTTCCTAGAGGAGCCTTAGCTCTTCTTCCTAAAGGAGCCTTCTCTGTTCTTCCTAGGAGGAGCCTTCGCTCTTCTTCGTAGAGGAGTCTTCGCTCTTCTTCCTAGAGGAGCCTTCCCTCTTTTTCCTAGAGGAGCCTTCCCTCGTCTTCCTAAAGGAGCCTTCTCTCTTCTTCCTAGGAGGAGCCTTCGCTCTTCTTCGTAGAGGAGTCTTCGCTCTTCTTCCTAGAGGAGCCTTCCCTCTTTTTCCTAGAGGAGCCTTCCCTCGTCTTCCTAAAGGAGCCTTCTCTCTTCTTCCTAGGAGGAGCCTTCGCTCTTCTTCGTAGAGGAGTCTTCGCTCTTATTCCTAGTGGAGCCTTCCCTCTTTTTCCTACAGGAGCCTTCCCTCGTCTTCCTAGAGGAGCCTTCCCTCGTCTTCCTAGAGGAGCCTTCCCTCATCTTCCTAGAGGAGCCTTCCCTCATCTTCCTCGAGGAGCCTTCCCTCGTCTTCCTAGAGGAGCTTTCCATCGTCTTCCTAGAGGAGCCTTCACTCTCCTTTCTAGAGGGGCCTTCACTCTCCTTCCTAGAGGGGCCTTCACTCTCCTTCCTAGAGGGGCCTTCACTCTCCTTCCTAGAGGGGCCTTCACTCTCCTTCCTAGAGGGGCCTTCACTCTCCTTCCTAGAGGGGCCTTCACTCTCCTTCCTAGAGGGGCCTTCACTTCTCCTTCCTAGAGGGGCCTTCACTCTCCTTCCTAGAGGAGCCTTCCCTCTTCTTCCTAGAGGAGCCTTCACTCTTCTTCTTAGAGGAGCCTTCACTCTTCTTCCTAGATAAGCCTTCACTCTTCTTCTTAGAGGTGTCTTTGCTCTTCTTCCTAGAGGAGCATTCGCTCTTCTTCCTAGAGGAGCCTTTGCTTTTCTCCCTAGAAGGGCCTTCACTCATCTAGGAAGGCTCTCCACAAGATTTTGAAGTGTGTCTGCAGGAATTTGTGCCCATTCAGCCAAAAGACCATTTGTGAGGTCAGGTTCTGATATTGGATGAGAAGACCTGGCAGCTCACAATTAATGTTCCAGTCCATCCCAAAGGTGTTCAGTAGGATTGAGGTCAGGATTCTGTGTAGGCCACTCCAGTTCCTCCACTCCAAACTCATCAAACCATGTCATCATGGATATGAGCTCCTCAGGGAACTGTAAGAACCTTTAAAAGAACTCCAGTCTACTTCAGGGCTTGAAATTATGGAAATGAAGGACTGAAGCAATAACTCAAAAATTTGGAAGGTCCTTCAAACTGCTGCCTACATTCTATTTGTTTGGGAAATGACCCATTTCTCATGAGGTCCCATTTTTGAGTTCTTGCTCCAATCCTTCATTTCCAACTGAGGAATGGGGTTGTGCCTGCCCCCAAAACATGTTGGCTGTCTGATATATACATAATTATTAAACTTTTTATGGACTCTTGAGATCTGATTTGGTATGGTGCTCTTCTTTGTTGTCCGATCTCTGAGTTGCTTCCTGTATCACCCATTGGAGACTGTCGTTGAGCTGCCCAACCACAGGCTACCTCCAGAGTCAGATCAAGTTGGGTAGATCAGAAGGGATAGCAAGAGGCTCCTTCCAGCTCCTCTGAAATACTCTTGAGAGTTGCCATAAACACAGCTCAGTGGTTACACGTTGTCACCCTAGGACAGGAAGTGTGTTACTGGCATGATCATCAGGTCTCAACTGGTAAAGAAAATACTGAGTACGAAGAACTAAAGCAGTCACCACACCTAAAGCCTTTTAAGCTGCAATGTATTCCATTCAAATATTGGGTTTAGATTCACTTTAAGGGTTGTATTAATAAACAATTCACCGAGCCGTTCTCCCGTGAATTTCGGTGAAATAAAGGCAAAAGCAATAAAGGCAAAAGCAATGATCTTATAATGTCATGTAATACAGCATTATGGCCACTAGATAGAGCTAAAGTATTCCTTTCCTATGCTCCTCAGCTCCATCTGGTGGCCATGAATAGTAGTTTCCAAATGTTACATTCAACCTAGAAAACACATTAAATACTAAAAACGTTTATTGTGCCTCTATTTGCACAGAGCGAACATTCACAGAGATTTGCAGGGTGAATTGTTTATAAAGAGATCCCTATGTGTATGCCTGCAAGCCATGCATGCTCATTTCCCCATATTTCCTTAATCGCATGAGACCCTAACTTCCTGTAGTCAGCTGTAAACGCTGCCTCTGCTGAACCAATATTCAAAGCAGTGTTGTCAAGCCTGCCCGAGTTCTCCCATACTGGACTAGTTTTATACAGGAATGCGGCTGTTAAAAAACATGTTGAAAGAAGTATTAGGCAAGAAAAATGCATTTCCCTTTGTTTCGTGTTGAATACACACCTGTAGAAATGTCCTCCTCTTTAATCCTCACGCGTCCTTCTTCCTCCTCCTCAGCTTTGACGTCCCCCTGAGTGTCTCCGGTGTCTGTGAATAAAGAGGAGAGTGAAGCCCCCCGTACTGAGCAGTGATATGGCCACGGTAAGGTCATACTGCTGCTTTATAAATTGTCCCCCATTAGGGGTGTGTTTATAAAAATATGAATCCTGCAACCCGGCATGGACATTCGTTCTTTGTGAATGGGGCAAATGTTATTAGTATTAGGGATGCACCGATATATCGGCCGCCGAAACATATCGGGCAAATGGCGAAAGTGCCATTTTCCTGCCGATACATTGGCGCATCCCTGGTTTCTTTCCTCCCCGCTGGGCGCTGCTCTGTGTCCCAGCGGGGAGGAGAGAAAGTGACAGCCGGCCAAGCGCTGCGGGAGGTGAGAGCTGTGAGGGGCCGGCGTCTCTCCTCCCACACCGCTCAGCCTCCTATCACAGTCCGGCAGAGCGGTGTGTGGGCGGAGACAGCCCGCGGTGTGTCACAGGAGGCTGAGCTCCTGTGACTCAGCCTCCTGTGACAGCGTGTCAGAGAGGAGAGCGAGAGCAAACACTCAGTGATCAGTGATCGCCGAGTGTTTGTAAATAATTAAGGACATCTAAGTAAAAAATAAAAAATATTTAATAAAAAATGAATAAATAAATATAAAAAATGTAAAAAGTTTATAAAAAAATACATGAAAATAAAATATTTGAAAAAGTTTAAATAAAAAATCATTTTTGGTTTCGGCCTGACAATTTTTTTTATTTCGGTTTTGAAATTTCCATTTCGGTGCACCTCTAATTAGTATATTTTTGTTCCCAGCCAGATATAATTCAATGATAAAGTTAGAGTGAATCAGGAAAATACCACATTACGGCCACTAGATGGAGCCGAGGAACTAAATACGTATTTCCTGTTATGTTTAGCTCCATCTAGTGGACACAATGTGGTATTTTCCAGATTCACTCTCTTTCACAGGACTATCGGCTTTTGCCACTTTTTCTTTTTTTACAAATGCACCTCTTAGTGTTCATTCCTCACCTGTGCTCATCTCTGGGGGAATTTCCTCCTCCTTACACGGCTCATCTGTTTCCTCCTTCACTTCAACTTTAACATTATTTAGATTTTCATCCTGAATAACATAAAACACAAAGTATATATCAGCGGAGGCTAAATGGACATTTTCTAGTCTTCAAGTCCCAATAGATGAGATTGTACTCCTACTATCAAGTTCGAACAACCAATGGCTGACAAGCCCCCATTGACTGTCAATATGCTCGATTTACTAAGCACGTATCTTTCAGCTCTATCCGCCATGATGGTTATACCTTCGGACGCTGAATTGGAAGTATTTTCATGGAATACATTTGTTAGTCATTGGTCGGTTGGACTGAAATAACCTTATGTTCTTTGTCTGAATGACCTCATCACCAGCAGCACATACCTTTCTTTTGTTCCCCTAATGCTCTGTGCATCCACTGACTGGGGGCAGAAAACACCCAGTACTACAGGATATGGAGGAGCACGTGACTCCACTCCACTGCCCATGTGACATCGCTGATGCCTGTTATTGGCCCTGCACTGTCTCATGTGACTGGGAGAGTCCTCAACCCAGTGTAAGCTTTGACTACAACAACTTAGGACTTCCTTCCTTTACTACTTGCCCCCAGGGGAGTAAAAAGGAAGGTGAGTATACATTTACAATTATACTAACATGAATGTATTAAATGATCTGTATGTAGCCCTGTACTATGGATCATTTAACCCATTCATGTTAGCAGAGGATCATTGTAAATGTATTGTTGCAGGCACTCTATATGTACATGTCATATATACTACATATAGAGTGCACTGAACAATAGATTTACAATTATCCTCTGCTAATATGAATGGGTTAAATGATCCGTAGTACATGATATGTAGCCCTGTACCCCCTTTTCCACTTACAGAGCTAGGTTATTTTTCTTTTAAATAAATATTAATGTCATTTTATTGGTATCTATCTACCAGTAGCTGCCTCATTTCCCACCCTCGGCTTATATTCGGGCCAATACTTTTTCCCAGTTTTTTTGGCTAAAATTAGGTACCTCGGCTTATATTCGGGACGGCTTATACTCGAGTATATACGGTATGTGCTGCTGGGGAGGGCGGCATTAAATTATACTGTTCATTTGCCCTGCCTTGTCAAAGCATAGGATCTGCTCTTTGACCAGGTCTTTTGTTCCATCTACCTGATCATCTTGAGGGATCTCCTGATGCTCCTGAGGGATCTCCTGTTGTTCCTGAGGGATCCTCTGATGTTCCTGAGGGATCTTCTGATGTTCCTGAGGGGTCTTCTGATGTTCCCGAGGGATCTCCTGATGTTCTCGAGGGATCTCCTGATGTTCCTGTGTGGAATCCTGGGAATACAGAGGACGGGCCTGAGGGATCTCCTGATGGTCTTGTGTGGAATCCCGGGAATAGACAGGACGGGTCTGAGGGATCTCCTGATGTTCCTGTGTGGAGTCCCGGGAATACAGAGGACGGGTCAGAGGGATCTCCTGATGTTCCTGTGTGGAGTCCCGGGAATACAGAGGACAGGCCTGAGGGATCTCCTGATGTTCTTCTGTGGAATCCCGGGAATAGAGAGGACGGGTCTGAGGGATCTCCTGATGTTCCTGTGTGGAGTCCCGGGAATACAGAGGACGGGTCAGAGGGATCTCCTGATGTTCCTGTGTGGAGTCCCGGGAATACAGAGGACCGGCCTGAGGGATCTCCTGATGTTCCTGTGTGGAATCCCGGGAATACAGAGGATGAGTCTGAGGGATCTCCTGATGTTCCTGTGTGGAATCCCAGGAATACAGAGGACGGGTCTGAGGGATCTCCTGATGTTCCTGTGTGGAATCCTGGGAATACAGAGGACGGGGACATCTCTCTGGGGTATTTCTGTTCCTGGATCCATCTGTAGGAAACACATCAATAGATGTTGTAACTATATCCTGAATAAATGCAATTACATTACTACGGTTTATGTTTGGCAACTGGAGGACAGGACTACTTCAGCTACCTGGTTGAGTTAGTCCTCTGGGTTAGTCAAGAGTGGCAGAACAAATGTATGACAGAGCCAATGAGAAGTGTCCTGGAATATGAAGAACCCTTGACTCTGTTATGTGGATTTAACGTTTATTACTCACCTGAGCTGATCTTTGGAGGGATTTCCTCTTCCTTACACGGCTCATCACCGCTCACATACAGATCTTTTCCTTCTTCTTTAATTTCAACTTTAATGTTCAGATTTTGACCCTAAATATCAAACATAGATGGCCCATTAGATTAAGAACAATGGCAATATGACTCTATAGAGCTCATATCAAATTAAGTCACTGTTTTATTTCCCTGGACCTTTAGATCCATGTACCTGATGTTCCTGTGGGATCTCCTGATGTTCCTGTGAGATCTCCTGATGTTCCTGAGGGATCTCCTGATGTTCCTGAGGGATCTCCTGATGTTCCTGTGTGGAATCCCGGGAATACAGAGGACGGGTCTGAGAGATCTCCTGATGTTCCTGTGTGGAGTCCCGGGAATACAGAGGACGGGGACATCTCTCTGGGGTATTTCTGTTCCTGGATCCATCTGTAGGAAACACACACACTGACTGAATACATTGCTTATATCAGACGATGTGTGTATATAGGGGGATCCTCAATACTCAAGAAATGAAAGTCTCCTCTTACCCGGTGATGTGAGGGGCGGCCGGTTCTCCATCATGACGTCCTTGTACAGATCTCTCTTATGAAATAATTACACTCCTTTTGCCTGCGTCTGGGCTTGGAATTTAGGACGGGTCATCAATCTCTGCAATAAATCAATAAAAAAAAGTTACATTATATGTTGATCATAAATATCATCCACACGGTGCGGGGTACATAGAGTTGAATGCCACACAGGATGCTGTCTTAAAGGGGAGAGATCCATTGACAGACCACATTCTCATTATTACAGAAATAATAGTGAGGACCTGCAGGAAGATGATGATTTGTTGGGGTGACATGTCACATGACCCCCCGCTCCCATCTAGCCCACAGAGAGTGCTGGGACCCCCTTCTGTCATAATAAGAAGACATTATTACCTCCTCCTCACTGGGCACACACTCTCCAAGATAACACCCGCTCCAGGGGGATTCTCGCAGTACCTGAGATCCTCTTTCTCCTCCCTGGGCTACAACAAAATGGCCACCCTTTTACTATAATGAAGACCAGAAAAATATATATACTTTTTATTAATTATCAGATGTTTATCCTCCAACAAACTACTACAAGCTAATCACAAGCAAAAAAAGCATTTCATATAAATGTCATCTATACACAATAAAAGATATTAATCCTGAACTTCAACAAAATGGCTTCGTCCCCTTCTGAAATAAAGGACGCTTCATCTTCTCACACAACAGATGGCTGCGCTCTAGTGGTGTATTTGGCTCCACACTGGAATAATCGGATAGTCTGGCAACCAAGAAGCAGCTGGGAGATCATTTAAATGGCCAGCTGCTTAGTGTAGTAAAAATAATACTAATAATAATTATAATTAGGAAAAAAATTACAGCAATAACAAAATTTCAAAGATAATAGTAGTAAAAATGTATAATAATCGTAATAAAAATTTGTGGACGCCTTCCCAGAAGAGTTGAAGCTGTTATAGCGGCAAAGGACGGGCCCCAAAAATGAAGTTTGGAGGTCTGTAGCTATTGACTCAGCAGACAGTTGTCGACTTCTGCGCACTGTGCGCTTCAGCATGCGCTGACCCCGCTCTGTCATTTTACGTGGCCTACCACTTCCTGGCTGAGTTGCTGTTGTTCCCAGTTGCTTCCACTTTGTTATAATCCCAGTAACAGATGACCGTGGAATATTTAGTAGCCAGGAAATGTCACGGATGGACTTATGGCACAGGTGACAACCTATCACGGTACCACGCTTGTAGTCACTGAGCTCCTGAGAGCGACCCGTTCATTCACCAATGTTTGTAGAAGCGTCTGCATGCCGAGGTGCCTCATCCTATACACCTGTGGCCATGGAGGGGATTGGAACACCTGAATCCAATGATTTGGAGGGGGAGGGGCCCAATACTTTTGGCAATATAGTGTATTATTGCTCTACTCTTGCAGGGAACTATTTTTGTATGACAACAAGCCACTAGAGCTGGATGTTGAGCAGTGGTTGGACCTGCAGGCTGGACAGTCGCTGGGGCGGGATCCCTGGTTGCAAAGAAGATTAAAAGGCATTCGTTGGAAATATTTAATTGGCTAGCAGGAGTCTTTGGGGGCTAAAATACAGCCAGTGGAGTCTTCAGCTGCTATGTTTCTGTAAAGAGTCTGGGTTGCTGAAGTCTTCCACGTGGGCAATAGAAATGCGACCAGACACTTGTACTGAAGCAGAACAGACTAAGGGTGCTCATTGGTGGGATGGGATGGCCGCAGACTTGAGGTATCTTCTATCAGAATGGTACATTTAGAAAACTGGATGGTTGGGGATGATGAAGTGGACAACAGGAACATGGTCAGGAGCTGTGACTATTGGGCAGAAACTGGACAGCAGGTCTGGTTGTAACAGAGGAGCAGCTGAGGTTTTGGAGTTCTGAACTATAGTAGTGAGAGTCCGGGGAAATAATGAAGGGTGTGAGACAGAAGAGATCTGACCCGGTGTTAATGATCTGCTGAGTGTGTCTGAATTCACCAATTTGCTCTACCGATGTAGGGAAAAAATGTATATATATCAGCGATCTTTCACTCCGCCCTCCATAGCCAGACACAACAAATGGGTAACCAGAGCTGGATATATGGATCAAGACAACTAGTGAGCTTGCACAGTTCCAAGACAACTAGTGAGCTCGCACTGGGGCGGGGGTTGTTTTTCAGGGGTTGGGCTTGGCCCCTTAGTTCCAGTGAAGGGAACTCTTAAGGCATCAGCACACCAAGACATTTTGGACAATTTCATGCTCCCAACTTTGTGGGAGGAGTTTGGGGATGGCCCCTTCCTGTTCCAACATGACTGCGCACCAGTGCACAAAGCAAGGTCCATAAAGACATGGATGAGGGAGTTTGGGGTGGAGGAACTTGACTGGCCTGCACAGAGTCCTGACCTCCACCCCATAGAACACCTTTGAATGAGAGCGGAGACTGCGAGCCCGGCCTTCTCCTCCAACATCTGTACCTGACCTCACAAATGGTCCAACGTTCCCATAGACACACTCCTAAACCTTGTGGACGCCTTCCCAGAAGAGTTGAAGCTGTTATAGCGGCAAAGGACGGGCCCCAAAAATGAAGTTTGGAGGTCTGTAGCTATTGACTCAGCAGACAGTTGTCGACTTCTGCGCACTGTGCGCTTCAGCATGCGCTGACCCCGCTCTGTCATTTTACGTGGCCTACCACTTCCTGGCTGAGTTGCTGTTGTTCCCAGTTGCTTCCACTTTGTTATAATCCCAGTAACAGATGACCGTGGAATATTTAGTAGCCAGGAAATGTCACGGATGGACTTATTGCACAGGTGACAACCTATCACGGTACCACGCTTGTAGTCACTGAGCTCCTGAGAGCGACCCGTTCATTCACCAATGTTTGTAGAAGCGTCTGCATGCCGAGGTGCCTCATCCTATACACCTGTGGCCATGGAGGGGATTGGAACACCTGAATCCAATGATTTGGAGGGGGAGGGGCCCAATACTTTTGGCAATATAGTGTATTATTGCTCTACTCTTGCAGGGAACTATTTTTGTATGACAACAAGCCACTAGAGCTGGATGTTGAGCAGTGGTTGGACCTGCAGGCTGGACAGTCGCTGGGGCGGGATCCCTGGTTGCAAAGAAGATTAAAAGGCATTCGTTGGAAATATTTAATTGGCTAGCAGGAGTCTTTGGGGGCTAAAATACAGCCAGTGGAGTCTTCAGCTGCTATGTTTCTGTAAAGAGTCTGGGTTGCTGAAGTCTTCCACGTGGGCAATAGAAATGCGACCAGACACTTGTACTGAAGCAGAACAGACTAAGGGTGCTCATTGGTGGGATGGGATGGCCGCAGACTTGAGGTATCTTCTATCAGAATGGTACATTTAGAAAACTGGATGGTTGGGGATGATGAAGTGGACAACAGGAACATGGTCAGGAGCTGTGACTATTGGGCAGAAACTGGACAGCAGGTCTGGTTGTAACAGAGGAGCAGCTGAGGTTTTGGAGTTCTGAACTATAGTAGTGAGAGTCCGGGGAAATAATGAAGGGTGTGAGACAGAAGAGATCTGACCCGGTGTTAATGATCTGCTGAGTGTGTCTGAATTCACCAATTTGCTCTACCGATGTAGGGAAAAAATGTATATATATCAGCGATCTTTCACTCCGCCCTCCATAGCCAGACACAACAAATGGGTAACCAGAGCTGGATATATGGATCAAGACAACTAGTGAGCTTGCACAGTTCCAAGACAACTAGTGAGCTCGCACAGTTCCCCCCATGCATCACCTTGTCATTGGGGCTCTTCCATGTCAGGCTGCCTAACCTAACCCTAACGTGTAACCAAAACCATAACCTGCAAAATCAAAAACGCGGACTCCAGGATGAATAAAATATTTTATTGTGAGAAGTATAAGCAACGGAACAGATGCCGATAATGTCATGACATTCTTACAAGTCAACCCGAGCAGGCAACAGACATTTAACTAGTGCGAGAGCAAGCCAGACAAACCATGCACAAGCAAGGCAGGATTGAGAAAGAGCAGGTCAAGCCAGGCCTGGATTGAAACCTGCAGAGCAAACCAAGACAGAGCTAGGGATTAGTAAAACAGGGCTAGGGATGAGTAAGACAGGGCTAGGGATTAGTAAAACAGGGCTAGGGATTAGTAAAACAGGGCTAGGGATTAGTAAAACAGGGCTAGGGATTAGTAAAACAAGGCTAGGGATTAGTAAAATAGGGCTAGGGATTAGTAAAACAGGGCTAGGGATTAGTAAGACAGGGCTAGGGATGAGTAAGACAGAGCTAGGGATTAGTAAAACAGGGCTAGGGATGAGTAAGACAGGGCTAGGGATTAGTAAAACAGGGCTAGGGATTAGTAAGACAGGGCTAGGGATGAGTAAGACAGAGCTAGGGATTAGTAAAACAGGGCAAGGGATTAGTAAAACATGGCAAGGGATTAGTAAAACAGGGCAAGGGATTAGTAAGACAGGGCTAGAAATTAGGACAGGGCTAGGGATTAGTAAAACAGGGCAAAGGATTAGTAAAACAGGGCTAGAAATTAGTAAAACAGGGCTAGGGATTAGTAAGACAGGGCTAGGGATTAGTAAGACAGGGCAAGGGATTAGCAAGACAGGGCAGGAAGTTGGTAGGGTAGGTCAAGACAAGCCTGGGAGAGTGCAAGGCAAAGCAAGGCAGGACTGGAAGTCAGCGAGCAAGGCAAGGACACCACTGAGAGTCGATAGGGCAAGGTAGGATGGCACTGGAAGCCAGCAGGGCAAGACAGCAATGGGAGCTAGCAGGGCAGGGAAAGGCATGACTGTACACTTGCATGGTAGGGCAAGACTGGACTGGCAGCCAGCAAGCCAAGACAGGCAGCTGAAAGTGCATATGGCTGACTCCAGAGCTTATGTCGGGAGAAAGGTAGTGATTAGGTGACAATTGTATTTTTCAAGCTCCGACCGTGTATGTGTGGCTGCCCACTCAGTATCAATGTGTGCAAAATTTAGGTAAGCAAGGCAGGACTGGAAGTCAGCAAGTCAGCGAGCAGGAAAAAAACAAGGCAAGACAGCCCTGGGGGGTCAGCAGCGCAAGGCAAGACACCAAGGACAGGCAACTGGAAGTGCATGTGGCTGACTACATAAAAAGGAGGAGGAGGAGGGCCGTGGTTAGGTGACAACATTATTTGTCAAGCTCCATTGATTGTATGTGCTGCCCAATCACTACTAATCTGTGTAATGATTTACGTTACTGAGCTGTTGCCTCTTGAAACAGGTACCTCTTGTCTTTCGTGGAAACTGACATGTGACATAAGGGAGGACTTATGTGAAAATTGTTGGCCGCAATCGGTACATGAATACGGGTGATCACCAGTGTGAGCCCTCTCATGTCTACCCAGAGCTGATTTACTGGTGAAGCTTCTCCCGCACGCTGCACAGGAATAGGGCCGATCGCCAGAGTGGACTCTCTGGTGTATAACCAAATCTGATTTATTGTTGAAGCCTCGATCGCACTCGGAACAGAAATATGGACAATCGCCCGTGTGGAGTCTTTCGTGCCGAGCTAGAGCCGCTTTACTGGTAAACTCTCTCCTGCACTGCGAACACGAGAACGGGCGGTCGCTGCTGTGAATCTTTTGGTGCTCGTTCAGATGGGACTTTCGCTTAAAGCCTCTCCCGCACTCGGGACACGAATACGGTTTTACGCCCGTGTGGCCTCTCTGGTGCTGAACCAGATTGGCTCTGTAAGAAAAACACTTCCCACATTCCGGACACGAAAACGGCTTCTCCCCCGTGTGACTCCTCTGATGCCGTATGAGATCCGACTTCGAGCCGAAGCATTTGCTGCACTCGGAACATGAGAACGGCTTCTCCCCAGTGTGAGTCTTCTGATGTGAAACGAGTTGTCCTTTCTGGGTAAAACGTTTCCCGCACTCGGAACAGGAGAATGGCTTTTCTGGTCTGTGAGTTCGTTCGTGGATGTCGAGGACAGACTTCTGCCTGAAGCATTTCCCGCACGCAGAACAAGCGTACGGTCGTTCTCCTGTGTGAACCCGTTTATGTATGGTGAGGTTTCTCCTCCAGGAAAAAGACTTTCCACATTCAGAACAGGAATAGGACTTCTCCCCCATGTGAATTTTCTCATGGGCGACGAGATGTGACTTCCAAGGGAAGCACTTTCCACACTTTAAACATGAATATGGTTTCTCCCTTGTGTGAGACTTTGGGTGTGTGATAAGTTCTGCTTTCTCAGTGAGACATTCAGCACACGAGTCACATTCTGAATGAGCCAACCGGCAGGTGACTGAAGGTGGACGATCATGAGGGCTCCCCCTTTGTGTAGAGGGAATGGACGAGACATCTGAACTGTGACGTACAGGACCAAGGCCAGGAGCAATGGGGGCTTCTTTTGAGGAACAGGACGTGATGTCATCATCTTCTATTTCACAATCTGTAGATGGGATGATGGGACATTTCTCCGAGTTATTCCTACTGTGTCGGCTATCTGAAGGAGACAAGAAGAAGAATGTATGAAGATCTGTCATCTAGTATCAGAACTGAATTTACTCCTTATAGAAGGCAATGGGAACCCCAAAAACAGGACATGCAGATCAAAGGCACCTGAAAGCAAAAGACTTGACAAGTCTACACAAGTCCTTGAAACTATCTGTTGTCAGCAAATTTATTTAAGAATGAAGAAATAATACGTACCTGTCTCGTGGTCAGCCCTTGCTTTCTTGAAGGGCTAAGCTTGCTGAGGAATCTCCAGCATCTGGCATACTTCTAGGTGTGCCAGATACATGGTCTCCCCCAGTGCGCCCCATGGTTCCTTCCATTGACATCACTACTTTGTCCTGTAGGGGACATACCTGGCCATCAACACACAACATGATGTGAGGAGGAGAGCCGGAGTCTCATAGAAGCTGATGGCTCCTGACTCCCCCCACTAGAAACATTCCGTCCCCCCATTACTGTCTACTGACAGAGGAGGGGGGAGAAGAAGAGATTGTTGTAGTGACTGAACAAGGAGAATCTGGGACTCTTTTCTGGATTTAGTGTTTATTCCTCACCTGTGCTGATCTCTGGAGGGATCTCCTCCTCACACAGCTCATCACCACTCATATATAGCTCCTCTGATTCCTCTTTAACTTCAACCTTAATAGCAATCATATCTTCACTCTGAATAATACAACAATGTAGAAGGACATTAGAATCAAGATTTTGCAAACACTATTTCAATCTTTTTATGAAACAAGACTGTGTGCAGACGTCATTGATGAAGAACATCAATTCTAACTACCTGATCATCTTCATGAAACTCATGCTGTTCCTGAGGGATCTCCTGAGGGATCTCCTGATGTTCCTGAGGGATCTCCTGATGTTCCTGTGTGGAATCCCGGGAATACAGAGGATGGGTCTGAGGGATCTCCTGATGTTCCTGAGGGATCTCCTGATCTTCCTGTGTGGAATCCCGGGAATACAGAGGACGGGTCTGAGGGATCTCCTGATGTTCCTGTGTGGAGTCCCGGGAATACAGAGGACGGGCCTGAGGGATCTCATGATGTTCCTGTGTGGAGTCCCGGGAATACAGAGGACGGGTCTGAGGGATCTCCTGATGTTCCTGTGTGGAATCCCGGGAATACACAGGACGGGGACATCTCTCTGGGTTATTTCTCTTCCTGGATCCATCTGTAGGAAACACACACACTGACTGAATACATTGTTTCTATGTCTTTATATCAGAGGATGTGTGTATCTAGGTGGATCCTCAATACTCAAGAAATGAAAGTCTCCTCTTACCCGGTGATGTGAGGGGCGGCCGGTTCTCCATCATGACGTCCTTGTAGAGGTCCTTGTGTTCTAAGTCCTCCCACTCCTACATGGAGAAATAGTGACATCCTGACACATTATAGGAACCTGACACACCCCATCATACACATCGGACACACCCCTTTGGTTACTGGATATGTCCCATATTTCCTTCCAGCGCTTACCTCTCCAGTCAGCAGCTCAATGATATCATATGTGACATCGAGAAGTCTCTTGACATTCTTTCGATTAGGTATGAGGGAGGAACTTGGAGGTTCCACATTGGGGTTGAGTGTCACATGTTCACCAGATGCCTTCTTCACTACCATGTAATCCTGCGTATTAAGGTAAAGACCAGAAACAACACTCGACTTGTTCTCTTTCTGGCAAAAGAACCCCTGACAACATTTCAGCTCTCTGTTCTAGCAATAAAAAGTAACAGTGATATAATAAGACATTCCCAGAATCCTTTGCTTTTCCCAGCTGGCCTCTGTTTCCTCAGTACAGATCAATATATCAACTCACAAAGTCACTGAGCTTTCCAACCATGTCTACTTAGTATAGGTTACACAAACCTCATGTGACCTCCCAGAATCCTCTTCACCTCTCCGGTCAGGTCTGTGTTTTATTACTAGAGATAAGAGTGATGTCATGTGACCTCCCAGAATGCTCCTCACCTCTCCGGTCAGGTCTGTGTTTTATTAATAGAGGTAAGAGTGATGTCACGTGACCTCCCAGAATCCTCCTCACCTCTCTGGTCAGGTCTGTGTTTTATTAATAGAGATAAGAGTGATGTCATGTGACCTCCCAGAATCCTCCTCACCTCTTCGGTCAGGTCTGTGTTTTATTAATAGAGATAAGAGTGATGTCATGTGACCTCCCAGAATCCCCCTCACCTCTCCGGTCAGCAGGTACATGATCTCTAAGGTGAGATTTAAGATCCTCTGGGTCATCTTCTTCCTCTCCTCATCCATATCGTGTGGATCAGTCATGACTGAAGAAATTCCCTCTAGTTCACATGGAAGAGCCTTTCAATCAGTCTTCACCAGTGAATGTGGTAAGGTGGGTAACCTAAAGAAAAACAAATGCCAATGAGTTAGGGTATAGCATTGGTCAATGACAGTCTTCCATGTATCTCAAACACAATTAACAACTTTCTCTTGAAACCAGATGTTTACTTGAACCCACAGGTCTTCGTGACGGCTGCTCTAGAGTTACCTAGCAGCAAACTAACTAGATCAAAGGTACGGCATACAGACAGAAGGATCCATCCCATCTTAATACAGTGAACATGTTTATAATTAATACAGCACCATGTAAATCTCCCTCAACAAATACTGGCAGTAGAACAGGTCGCTTCCAGGACTTCAGGGATTAACAACATGGCGCCATCATAGGACGCCACCGCTCCAACTAATCTATTCAGGAACTGTCCTGCCCTCTTAGAGCTTCCTCAGTGGTTTGCTAAGATGGTAGACATTTGACCAAAGCATGTTCTCAACCCATATAATTGTTTGTGACATGAACTGGAACCCCAACTCTAAGCCAGGTCTTTTTACCAAACAGCTGGGCCACCTTCACTGAAGACCTTCTGGAAGCAAATCCAACATCTTGCACAAAGCAAGATAGGAAGCCACCTCTCCAACTAGTCCATTTGCCAACTTTCTTGCCCTCCTAGAGCTTCCTCTGTAATTTGCCAAGTTGGTGGACATCTGAAAAAACTTTGTCGTTAACCAAAATAATCCTGCATGAGATGAACTGGGACCCCAAATCTAAACCAGGCCTTATGATTCAAGAACTGGGCCACCTTCAAAGAAGGCCTTCTGGAAACAAATGCAAGATCCTGCAAAAAAAAGATAGGAAGCCACCTCTCCAACCAGTCCATTCACCGACTTTCTTGCTTTACTAGAGCTTCATCTGTGATTTGGAAAGATGGCGGACATCTGACAAAACTTTGTCGTTAACCAAAATAATCCTGCATGAGATGAACTGGAACCCCAAATCTAAACCAGGGCTTATTATTCAAGAACTGGGCCACCTTCAAAGAAGGCCTTCTGGAAGCAAATCCAACATCCTGCAAACCTCTCCAGCTAGTCCTCCTCTCCAACTAGTCCATTCACCAACTTTCTTGCTCCTAGAGCTTCCTCTGTGATTTGGTAAGGTGGTCGAAATTTGACTAAACCTGGTCCTCAACTCAAGTAGTCATCCGTCTTATTACTCAAGAACAGGGCCACTTTTACTTAAGACCTTCTGGAAGAAAACCCAACATCTTACAGAAAGCCCTTTTCTGGTGTCCTATATGGGATGTCTTCATATGTACCTGATTAGAGGGATCGTGTTTATGTAAACTACATGCTACTTGTAAATTACACGGGAGTGCTAAGAGCTGGCCCATCCTACCAGTCCTGAACTTCTTCCACCCGGCATATCAATCACTCGCTACCTACTAAATCTGAGCAAGTCTACTGTTTACAGAGCTCAATAGATGAAGATGAACTTTAAACACTGAACCGCATACATTTGATTGACATTGTGTAGATCATTCAGTTCACGATCTTCTACTCATTGCAACTAATTCCCTCGGAGAAGCCTGTCTGTGTGGGCCAACGCGTTCCGGAAAATCCCAGTCGCTCTTCAGCTTAACTTGTATAGGGCCAACAATAATATCTGCTCTCTCCACCGATAAAGGGGGATACCACCAAATATTTAATTATAATACAAACAGTTGATGAATTTTGGGGTCTTTGATCATATTCACCATATAATGCTATATATTTACACTGGTGCACTTTCTATACACCCCACCAGCACTATTTTTTAACCAGTTCCCATATAGCCCTTACCTACAGTAATATTTACATTGAACCAACCTACCTGTCCAGTCTGCACGCACATACCCTGCACTGTGGAGGTAAATAAACAATGCACAGAGCAGAAGGACCTGGCACCTGCGCTCTTCTATCAATTCTACAAATGCTTGGTGGACCACAACAAAATGGCCGCTGCTCTACTTCCTTCCCTAGGCGCTACAAGAAAATGGCCGCCGGCTCTGCGACGGGTCCTCACAGAAGCTCTGTATGCGGCTTGTGGTGTGCGGCCCTCGGCCAGCAGAGGGCGCAGGTCGGCGTCCCCGAGTTCTAATATGCAACTGATAGACATGAATATTTATAAAGGAGAGGGGGGTTCTGGGAGCTGGCTGTGTCCCCGCCCCCTATCTTATAGACTAGAGGGGTAGAGACTGCCCAGGGAGTCATGTGATCAGTTCAGGTAATTTAACCCTTTCACCACTGAATTCCAAGGCTGGCCGAAAAGCATTAGGGCTCATTCTAGCTCTTCGCGGCGACTGATGTTCTTCAGAAACCGATCATTGCCAGTCGCCGTCGTTTGTTTTCTATGTTGCCCCATTCGCAGGACAATGCTGATGTTGTGTGAACGGGGCACACTGGATGGCGTCGGAAGTCACCGGAGTACAGCGAGCTGCGACAGCTTGAATGGAGTGTACACTTTGTACACAGACAATAAAGTTATTAAAAAAATAGCAGTGCTCTGTAGAAACGCAAGGCACCGCTACACACTGCTGAGGGACACCAGCCCGGCTCTAAAATGGACCTTAGCAATCCCTTGTCCACTAAGGGCCCATTCACACCAGAGCATTGCAGTACACGTACGGTGCTGTGCACTTATTACACGCCATCGCCCAGCGTGCGGTACCATGTGCTAGATGCGTTGTGTTGCTATTCGTTTGAATGGCGCCCCAACGCACCTGCCAGTACCACGCATTGCACTGGGATGCCATTCAACACAACTTTAGTTTACAAATGAAATGAATCTTCAAATGTTTTTATGTAATACAGCATAATGGCCACTAGATGGCGCAGAGGAGCATAGGAAATAACTATTCCATAGGAAAGACCTTCCAGCCTTTATCATGGAGGAAACAGTTTAAGTTCAGTTCAAGGTTTCTATAGTGTTGGTGGTGGTGGGTCGCCATAATCTGCTCATCGAAAGATGACTGAAATGTCTAGAAAAATCGGTGAGGTGTAGAGCCGGCTTTACTGATCATGTAGGGAGCAGGACATCCAGCGTTGAGGAAACTCTGTAGCAATAGGATTGCAATACCAGCCCATTGGGTCAAGGCAACCTACTGGCAACAGTCTGAATATTTCTATGGAATGGTGGTAGGTTGTGGTAAGCCATTGGCTCATATTTGGTGCGTTTGTCATCATAACCATGACAGGATTCCAGTAGATTTACTGAACCCCTTGACCGTAAATGCCCAACTAGAGCGAGTGACAAACTCAAAACTCAAATCGCTATTTACAGCAGCCAACACGGTGATCATATAGATGGATACAGGCCGCAGTGTGGCCATTGCTGTAGTCCCTGGGAGAGAAGACAGGCAGCGTGCTAAGGTTTAGGTAAACCCTCACAATCAACTCATATTTGCTACCTTCTGGTCTCCTAAATATTCCATTACATGTGTTTGAATATGCCAGTGTAATGCAAACATCATCTATTGTCTGAAATTTAGAGCTGTCCTGTGTAGGGCTGAATCAACTAATCGGTAATGAGAATTGTTGTCAACAATTCTCATTATCGATTAGTTGATCCAGATCGCCTACTTGTCTTCTCCCCGCTGGGAGCCGGTGTTTCATCAGCTCTGTGTCCTCTCTGATCCCCGCAGCCGGTGCCCAGCAGTGAGGAGAGTTCCCTCACCCCGCCGCCTTAAAGTGGACCTGCCCAGCGCTGGAGACAAACAGTACTGCCCCGAGCCTTTATCAGCCATACAATGGAGGCCATGGAGGGTGAGAAGGGGCCGTGCCTGTCATCCCTGTCCATAGTATTCTCTGTGAATCTGAGTGTTAGTCTGGTATGACAGCAGTGCCTGTACTGATAGCCGGTGATCACTTCCCAGCAGGTGTTCGGGTCTTTCCATTCAGAGTGCTACTT